AGAGCTTCCTCTGTGGAGAGGTGGGGGGGGGGCATAACCACGGCTGCGCCTGACAACTAAGAGACTGCACCAAGCATAGCAACAGTTCCTGGAAGACAACACACAGTAACACAAGTGTACTGTAGTCAGAGGGGCGCGCAGCGTACGGGCTGATGAGAACGTCTGTGTACACACATTAATCAAAGGAACACAAAAAAAAAAAAAAAAAAACAGACACACACACACACTCACACACTCACGTAGCCTGCAGCTGACTGTAGAGAGGCCAGAGAGGGCGCACTAATTCAGATGGCTAATGCACTTATAGAAATTTACAGCTTAGTCTGTTCAGAGTCACAAGAAACTACGTTGTTTGTAGCGATTAAAAAAAAAAAAAATCTCTGTTTATTTTTTTATTGTCAACTGCAGATGTGAGCGTTTTGTCCGTTAAACTGTAATTCCATGGCATGATACGATACGATATATCACGATATATTGCGATACTGTAGGCACGACGATATATTGATTTTTTTTTTTAACTATTTAATTGTAGTGAAACCGTCCTCCTCCAACCTCCACCTGACAAATCCAGAGAAAAGTCTATATTTTGATCACATTTTTAAAATGTTAATTTTAAATGTTCTGTTCTGGTAAAGATTAAATAAAAATAATAAAAATATCACAATTATATAAAAGCAAAACTTCAATATGTTGGAAAAATGAAAAGCTAAAACAGTTCATTATCAACGGGTGTGTATTTGGCAAGAATCTGGTGATACGAGACGTATCACGATACAGGGGCAACGATACGATGTATATTGCGATACTATAGTCACGACGATATATTGAGGTATTTTTCCACCCAATGTAACTGTAGTCCCAGTGTGATCCTAGTCTCAGACTCTGCCCCCCCCAGTGTGATCCTAGTCTCAGGCTCTGCCCCCCCCCAGTGTGATCCTAGTCTCAGACTCTGCCCCCCCCCCAGTGTGATCCTAGTCTCAGACTCTGTTCCATCTGAACATCAGTTCCTAACTCTGGAACAGAGGGATCTACATTTGGAATCACTAGAGGAGAAAGAAAAGAACAAGAACATGAACCAACACCAGGAATATTGGACTGGGAGTTGGGGAGAAAAAGAAATCAATAACTGATGGAGGAGAAGATTGATACAATACCATGAAACAAAATATTGCGATATTTCAATGTATCGATATTTTCTCACGACCCTAGTATTTAGAGATAAAATGTAAATCTTTTTTTTTTTTTTTCCACGCAGGTTCGTTTGGTTCGTTGACGTCTGCAGTGAAATACACAGATTTAAGTCATGATGTAGCACTTATTCGGGTGCGGGAGGGGCGGGGGGGGGGGGGGCACACTCGCCGATCCTTGCTTAATACCTAATATCTAATGAAACTCAGCGAGCGCTGCCTTTTGTTCGCTGACGGACAACCAATCACGGCTAATTGTCTTTGCTTTCATAGCAGCTGCAGTCGCTCTCATATTAAGACATATTCCATTCAAATCTCCAGGACAAGCATTTATAGCATGAGCTTATCAAGTGGACAAAGAGTCCTGTTTGAATAATTGGACCATTTCTTATCAAGGGGTGACATCCTTACAAAGATCTGCCGTTAACCGCATCTGCCCAGACAGGAGGGAATGAATAATACCTCATTCAGTTCAGCCTAATGCTCGGCCCCTTATCCTGAGGGTCAAACCATCTAATAAAGACTAATAGGGACAAATAGAGAAAAATAAAAATACGTTGTCCAAGACAAATGGAATGTGTGCCTTTTTTGAAAAGAGCAGCAACAACAACAAACTAACAAAAAGAAAAAAAAAATTCTGAATACCCAGCGAGGAACTCAGCCTTGGTGGATTCCTTCTTTCTCTGGAGCGACTATAAAGTTAAATGAGCCGTAACCACGGGGTCACAATAGAGGTGAGGTTAATTAAAGTGAGTAAGCTCGTGTGGTGGTGCAGAGGTGGGGCCCAAGTGTGAACTGTGACCGCGGGCAGAAGCTCAAGTATATATCAGGTGGTATTAGACGGCAGCGCTGACGGGAAATGTTCAGGTTGTTTTGTTTTTTTTTTTTTCTCGAGTTCATCTCAAAGCTTCAAGTTCAGGTTACTGACCCTGTAAATATAGTCCAACAGTGGGGCTTTGTGGGACATGCGGTCCTCCACTGAAGACATGGTGATGGGTTCCAACAGGATGCTCAGGGGAACAGCCATACACCAGTCTAACAGGCAAAGCAGCAGCGACACCAGCAGCTAACAGAACCAGGAAATACAGAGATAACATTCAGGTTAGTTAACTAGCGTCAAAAATAAATAAATAAATAAATAAAATTAATTGATACAGCGATGAGAGTGGAGCTGTTTCAAGAGAAACGACAGATGAGAGCGGCGGCAACAAAGAGACAGGAGAGAAGAGAACAAAGCACTTGAGTTGATACATTCCTCTGCAAATGCACCATTCCAGCGTGATAGATCAAGGGCCTTCAGATCTCAGCCATTTCATGTCCCCTCCTTTCCAACATGTACCTTTTTGTCTGCTTCCACCGTTGAGTGCTCGGCGCTCGGCAACAAAAAGGCTATTGTGGCCACAAAGATCTGTGTTGGTACAAAAAAACAACAAAAAAACAACAAAACAAAACAAAACAAAAACAAGGAGAGAGATAATTGGATGAGACGCTGCTATTCATCAGCTGAGTCAGGGCCGCGGCACGAGGTGTGTGTGTGCGCACGCAACACCGGGGACTGAAGTGTAAGTGCTCGTGTTTAGCATGCGTTACCTCGATGATTTTTTTGGGCAGCGCCGACTCCAGCCTCTTCAGATGTTCCCAGTGAGAAGTGAGCAGCTGAAAGGCGTCACAGGCGACCTGAGCCACGGCTTTGTTCCCGAACTGCACCAACACACAGGAGGAGGGAAGACGGTGAGGTTCAGTGTCCAGTGGTGGACAGGTGAACTTTACATCTGGACAATCGCTCCGTACCAGGGGTCACCAAGGTGGCCCCCGCCCCCAACCTTTTTTGTACCATGGACCGGTCTGCGGACCAGTAATACCGCACCATCGTCGAAGGATCATTAGATTTCTGATATAAACCATCTAGACCATACATGTCAAACACAAGGCCCGGGGGCCAAATGCGGCCCGCAAAAGCCGTTTTGTGCGGCCCGCATGAGTTTAAAGAGCATTTAGTGAAGTCCATGCAGCAGAGTTTCTTAACCTGAGAAATTAAAAGGTTTTTTTTATAATCAATCGCAGAAACCTGTTTTAGTCCGTTATGGAGTAGAATCTTTTAAATTCTTCTCTTCTCAAAACATTCTGTTTGTATCAGAGTCTGAATGACATTATTATTTTAAAATATTTTCAAATTATCATTAAATAAAGAAAAAAGTAAATGAATGAGTGGATTTTCTAAGAATGAAAGTAAATTAGTAACATTTTCTGCCCCCTGTTGGACACAGACAATGTTCTTTACATGTCGCGGTAAAGTAGACAAACCGTAAAAAAAAAAACACAAAAAAAACCCAAGTATTTTCACATAAATGAAATGTGTTCAGAAGCCAGAACATGCATTACTGCCCACTTTCAACATTTACAGGGTAATTCCACAAAATCACTTAGTTGATACTTTTCTCTGCTGAATTTAGGCCAACGTAAAAAAACTAAGTTACAAGAAGAAAGAAAGGGAGAGTGACCGTGCTGAATAGATAGATTTAAAAAAAAGAAAAACTTCTTCAGGTGTAGTCTGGCTGTGATAGAATTCTGGGTAATTTCTCTTAAGTTTAGCTTTTCACGTACTGTGCAGATAATCAGCATAATTTCATTTCCACTTCAAACCATGGCTCATTTTCCTCCGACTCATTGGAGTAAAGAATTGAGGTAGTGACAATTTTCTTTCAAATGTTGATTTCTTCTGTGATTTGAAATTCTTTGTGGGGAAATAGAATTTCCCATTTCTTCCAGCTGAATACCTCTCAACATGTAACAAGGGCAGACAATGTGGGAAGTGCAGAAATGGCCAAACACAAAAAGGGGCCCCTGAGAGTTCAGCACCTGCTTTTAGAAAAGAGACTCTCAGTGCCACTCTTCCCTCTGAACCCCCCACCCCCAGCCCCCCCACCCCATCCTATACCCTCTATTTTGGAGCTGGCTGAGTCTGTGTGTCAAGTTGTACAGGGGAGTGATTACTGCTCCATTAGAGCAGAAGGGCAGGGGTGGGTTTGCTCCAGCAGGAAGCTGGGAGATGTAGCTGCTTAAATTGGCCCACATCTACGGCGAGCTAGCTGCCTACAAATCACACCACCTCAAACCCTTTCCATGGGAGAAAAAAAAAAAAATCAACAAAACAAACACACCAACAGTCTCAGCTGGTTTTCTACATCCCTTAAATTAGAATATGAAGAGATCCAAAATACCACACCGTCGCATCAGTCTATCCCAGGTGTGGGCTTTCTTTTTTTTTTTGACTCCCGACCCACATCGGGGTCCTAAAATTTGACGCTGGAGCAGATAGATGGCGCGTTTGTGTGAAGTAAGATAAATGACATGTAAAAGTCACGCATAGAGGCTAAAATGCTAAAAATGCTTTTTAGCCTTTTCTAGGCCATCTATTGGGGAAACCTGGGCATTGCAGGGAAAAGGCAGCTGCATGACGACAATATAAATTAGAAACAGGTGAGTTCCATAACGTAGCCGTTAGCACGCACGCCTGCCTCGGACGAACAAGCTCGATTGTTAACCTTCCTGATGTAAGTATGTATGCATTAACGTAATGTAAATGTAAATTAATAACATAAGTTTGACGGGCCACATCCGGCCCCCGGGCCATAGTTTGCCCACGCCTCATATTTTCCTTTCCCTCATCTGCGTCCATGTCGTTTTCTCTCACATCATCACACAGTTTTTCCGTTCTCAGCCGTCACGTTAGAGCAGAGAAAAAAAACCCACTCTTTGAAGATGGACACGACCAGAGGACGGACGGACGTTATTGAGTTATTGGTCAGACACTGGAGTGGACAGTAGTGGGTGTCATCTGCTGCTGTTCACAACAACAGAAAACCAAAAGAAACCAGAGAAGCCAAGCCTCAGCGTTTCAGTGTGAAAGAATGTCCACACTGGGCAAAACACGACCCGACACGACAGGAATGAATACAGAATGTGTAGGTGGAGGTGACGCGCTTCAGAAAAGGTGCTTGGTGAGAACGCGGCGCTGAAGTGTCATGTTAACCTTCTGTGTGTTTTGTCAATGCACTTGAACGGGAATTTATCAGGCGCCAACACTCAAAGAATAAAACCCTTCAGTGTCTCCGTGGAACAAATGATAATAAAAAAAAAAAAAAAAAAAGGCAAGTACGTTTTTTAAATGCAACCACATCCAAACAAATGCACGACATCCTTAACGTTTACAGTAGCGTTTTTTTATACTGTCATCGGTACCTTTAGTGTTACTCCCAAGATGTTGATGGCATCTTTGACCTTGTGGTGAATGTTCTTTTGTATCAGCTCCTCACACACCCACAGGCCCAGACTACACATGGCGATGCACCTGAACAACCAAAGCACAGTTGTTTACAACAATGTTTACACTGAGGCCAGGACAAAACCATCGTGACTCATACCTGGCTCCCTCGCTGGGTTCTCGTGTCGCGGTTTCGAACAGGATGTGGACCATATGTTCCTAAAGGAAAAAAAAAAAAAATCATCCCTTCATCATGTCATATATACATACATGCATACATACCTACATATATATATATATATATATACACACACATATACATACATATATTTATATAGACATAAATATATATATACACATATATATATATAACACATATACACACACATATACATACATATATTCATATAGACATAAATATATATATACACATATATATATATAACACATATACACACACATATACATACATATATATATATATATACACACACACACATATACATACATATATTCATATAGACATAAATATATATATACACATATATATATATAACACATATACACACACATATACATACATATATTCATATAGACATAAATATATATATACACATATATATATATAACACATATACACACACATATAAAAAATATATATAAATACACTGTACGTTTTTGAAGGTTGTGCACCTTGACTCTAACCCCCTCCATTTTTTTTTCAGTTGTTTCAATCAGCTGGAGATAATTTGCTCCCAACAGAATCATTTTTTTCAGGACTATGGGCCACTTTTGGAAACTTTATTAATGGGTTAAAGTATTAACTTTGTTTTTTTTGGTCTCTGGAAGCTGTCATGGGCGTAGCTGTCCACTCCCCCCACCCCCCGCCCCCCACCACCACACGGCCGGGAAAGAAGCCCTCTGCCCTGGGTAATCGAGTCTAGCAGCCCAGTAAAAGTCTTGGCCTTCGGCAGTTACATTTTGTTGAGGATGAGCTTGTGGTCCTTAACATTAGTTTAAAATACTTAAAATACTACATATAGTAAATAACATACATTGTAAATGAAAAATATAAAAATGTAAAATATATATAAATATATATATGTATACATATATACATACATACATATGCACATACATATAAATATACATACATACTGTATATATACACATATACATACAGACACATACATATACACACATATATACACATACATAAATATATTATATATATGCCGTATATGTGCTATTTCTTTACCTTTATAAAATTATACACAGTATATACACATATATATAAATACATATATGTAAATATATATATGTATACATATATACATACATATACATACATATGCACATATATATAAATATACATACACATACATACAGACACATACATATGTATATACACATATACATATATGTATATATATATGTATGTGTGTATATATGTATATGTCTGTATGTATATGTGTGTATATATATATACGTATATGCTGTATATGTGCTATTTATATGTGCCGTATATGTGCTATTTATGTGCCGTATATGTGCTATTTCTTTACCTTGATATCATTCCGTCCTCCCATAATCTCCTCAGACCCTGGCACATGTTTAAGAACAGGAATCTGGAGGTAAAGGTTTGGGAAACACACCAGAGAACCGAGCAGAGTCTGAGCCTCCATTTTAGGAGCCTGGAGACGAACCAAGGAAACAGAAACAGGGTTAGTGATTCTTAGAGCTCGAGAACCAACTTCCTGGAAACATCATTCAGGGAGAGGGGGTTGGTCACGACTGACGATGATGATGATGATGATGATTAGGATCAGAAGATTTTCTCGGATGATGGGCGGTGTTCGACGACCTCATAAGATATTTAAAAACTAAGCAGCAGACTGTTGTATGTTGTTGAATTTGACGGCTTAGTGCAAGACAATGATGGATTTATACTGGGAGAATAAAACAAGTATCAAACAAGGCGCTAAGGAATTTTACAAATATAAAAGTCTTTGAAGTGGTGTGCAGAAATGTTAGCATTTATTATTAAATCGTTACCGTCCTGTTCTAATTAGATCAGTGGTCCTCAACCTTCACCAAAAATTTAACGATCCTTCAACCTTCCGTCGTTGAAGGATCATTCAATTTTCAAAATAAAACCATCTTTCAGGCTGTTAGAGTCTGAATGACCTTTGACCTGTTGTTTTGAAACACTGACAGATTATTTTTTGAATGAAAAACAGTGAAGAGACATGACTGGATTCTTTTAGAATGAAGTATATTAGTAAAAACAGAAGTACATTTTTTTTTTTACTGTGTCCCACTGTGGCCCGGTACCACATGACCTACGTACCGGCACCGGTCCCCGCACCAGGGGTTGGAGACCCCTGCTACACAGGACTCACAACAATCACCTATTTGCTTTTTTTATATCCGTCCTGTGCTGAAGTCGAGGACCATAATATCTACAATCACTTTGTTTTCACAGTTAATTAAACATGACAACCACCTTCGTTAACGTCCAATATTGATGAAACATTCTCATTTAATTAACCCCCCCCCCCCCACGCCCCCGACAAACGCCAGCGAACACTTCGCCGGCTGCAGATTGGACTCACAAACTTTAATCGTTCACTGTTTAAAACTGAAATGGTTTCAGTGTTGATAAAAAGTAATGGAGGAGGAAACACATTTTAATGAGCGTAAAGACTTTCAGTTTGATTAGTGTGATCGACGAGTAGGTGAGAGAGTGCACCTCTGGGAAAACGGAGCTGAGAACGTTGGTGGCGGCACTGATGAAATCACCAACCAGCATGGTGAAGCCTGGCAGACCCAGGAAGAAGAAGCGGGGGGAGCAGGAGCGGATGATGGTGTTCAGAACATCCTGGTGACAAAGACAGATAAAAAAAAAAAAAGAAGTCACATCCACAAACACAGAGGACACTCGTTGGTTTAGTTATGTATTTGAACCTGTACGCTAAAGGTCAAAGTAGGAGTAAAAAAAAAAGAAAAAAAGATTTTTTTGTTTTGTTATGTTGTCACTGACCTTCTATTGAGTTTACAAATTAATTTAAATGTGACGTCAGCTCAACTAAAAAAAATTTTGTTGTACCCCTGCTGTACAATGACAATACTTTTTTTTTAATCTATCCTATTCTAAACACTGATTGGTTCTTGATTAAGCAGTAGGGGTTTTGAAAATACCATTACTTTGAAAAAACGTTTCATGATATCGTATGGATATTCTACAGCAATATATCAATATATTTTATTGACAATTCACACGCAAATATTTATGACATTGGTTCATTTTTCTGTTGCATTTAAACCTACGGTATGACCGCTACTGGACTGTATAGGTACTGCATGTATTTGCAAGTATTTGAGAGTCAAACAATCTTATTTTTTCCATGTTTTTATCCAAAAAATCCTGCAAATAATTATCTTTCTCCTCTAGTGATTCCAAATGTAGATCCCTCTGTTCCAGAGTTAGGAACTGATGTTCAGATGGAACAGAGTCTGAGACTAGGATCCCACTGGGGGGGGGGCAGAGTCTGAGACTAGGATCACACTTGGGGGGGGGCAGGGTCTGAGACTAGGATCACACTTGGGGGGGGGCAGGGTCTGAGACTAGGATCACACTTGGGGGGGGGCAGGGTCTGAGACTAGGATCACACTGGGAAAAAACCCCTCAATATATCGTCATGACTACAGTATCGCAATATATATTGCAGTATATCTTGTATCGTGATACGTATCGTATCGACAGATTCTTGACAATAAACACTTCTGGAGAACTGCTGCAGTACTAGTACTGCAGTAGAAAGTGATACTTGGACATGATTTCAGGGAATGCTCTAATAAAAAACATGGGTCCCTTTCACAGCAGTCACCAGTCACTAATAAAAGTTCCAGGAGGTTCTATCGGGTGAAGCAGAGCCACTCGTGCTCCGAGTGCAGGAGAACAGTCTGTTCTCAGATCAGCTAACCTGAGATGAAGTCAAACACAATGCAAATGTGTTTCTGAGGTCAGGTCAGTCTGTGTTCATGCTGAGACTCCCTGCACCAGACTGTCATCATTACACAAACCCAGAAGTCGTCGTCTGTTACAACAGTGACGTGAAACCCAGACCCACATTTTTACTAATAGTGGTGTGAACTTTGACTAGTACAACACCAGACCTCAGTCACAGCAGACAAATTACAACTGCACGTCTCAACATGTCATTTAGACTCTAATATACATGTGGCAAACCTAAGGCCCGAGGGCCAAATGTGGCCCGGCAAGTCATCATTTGTGGCCAGCGGCAGCTTAAAAATTGTTGGATTGCCTTCAAATTTTTTTTTTTTTTTTTACCACACAAAGGAATGTACAATGTATGTAATTTGAATCTGTAATAATACATTTCAGAAACATTACAGCTACAGTTAATATGGGACCCTTAAGGGGAACTTGCTGATGTGCCCCCCCCGGTGAAAATGAGTTTGACCCCCCCAGCTCTAGTAGTATCTGCAGATTTTAAATGAGAACAAAAAAGTGTTGTTTAAAAAAAAAAATAAATTAAATAACCGTGCAGTAAAACGGCTCCAACTTTGTCAAAGAGTTTCTTCCTGGAATAAATGTTGAAAAAAAAAAAAAAGTTTGTTTTGTAAATTATTTAAAGTTGGTTGGAGCGGTTTCTACGTGTTCCGTAGAAATTTTGCCGCAAACGTGGAATAAATGACGCAAAAAAAACACACAGAAAAGAAAGAGCGAGAGAGGTAGAGACACAGAGAGAGAGAGAGAGCGATTGAGAACAAAAGACCCCAACTTTCACAAGTCACATGTAAATACACATACACACACACACACACACACACACACACAGGCAAACCTGTAATTAAAGCCAGAGACAAGGTATTGTTTTGCTGAGGTACAGGCAGCTCAGCAGCAGATGGGCGCTCTTTCAACACTGACATATGTTTGACTGCAGAGCCGCTCCACACACACACTCACACACACACACACACACACATACACACACTGCTTCAGTATGTAGTACACTATGGCACCATGTTAGACAAGAGGACCACGGCTTTGATATCCTACATGGATAACAACACCACAGTGAAGGAGTTAGAGTGTGTGTGTGTGTGTGTGGACGAAAAACAAACACAAAAACACACACACCAGCATGAGAATTTATCACCCAGTGAGGCATAAAGATTGTTCTCGTTCCCTTATCTGAGACATGCGTGCACAAATGTGTGTACAGAGACAAGGTCCAGGCTCCAAACACCTGCTTTCTGGAGCCATAAAGTTGTGTAAATCAGACAGTTCAAACATTGGCCTTTTTTTTTTTTTTTTTCGAGCTCAGCTAAAGGGTAACTTGACAAACAAGCAGGCACACGATCGCCCTCTTTTACACACACACACACATCTTGCTGTGACTTTAATCATCTTTAGCTTTGGTAAATGGGGGAACACAGGTGAACAAAGGAGAAATTGAACATAGACACACGGCATAAACAGGAAGTCAAAACACACATAATGCGCTGCATGTGGAAAATTGCAGGGATGAGCCGTAGGAGTGAGGGGCCTATTTTACCCTCACTTTGTTGGTAATTGACCTCCGAGGCATAATGTGCAGTGCAGTCAGAGGTAATTAGCATGTACCAAACTGTTGCCTGATTGCCTGAAAAGAGCATTTTAGAGAAAGCCACGGATGTAGAATGCAAAGTGTTTTCTATTGTACGTGAAAGTAGAGGGAGTCTGATTTGAAGTGTGTGTGTGTGTGTGTGTGTGTGTATAGAAATGGGAAATTCAGCTCCGCATGTGGCTCTGGTCTGGTGGTAGGAATGGTCCCCACGTCAACAAAAGATGAATTAACGCAGCTCTTCCTATTTGGCCTCATGTTCAGGGAAGGACGCGCCGTCCACCTGCCCCACCCTGAGGTGACACGGTTCACTTCAGCATTATATCACGCTACTGAACTTGGGCGGAACAATAAAAAAAAAAAAAAAAAAAAAAGCCGGGGTTTCCCGTCACAAACTGGTGTCAGTTCAGATCAGCAGCCATGTCTGTAGCTCTAATGTTAACTGACTGAAATTTTTTGATCACCATATTTTACATGCTATTGGCTGGGTTTTCTGACATATATTAAAATATATAATTTCACATGTTTGTTATTTTTACCCTGACCGTCACTAGAGGGCACTCTAGACTTGTGTAGTACTGAAAATCTACATGTTTGTTATTTTCACACTGACCGCCACTAGAGGGCACTCTAGGCTTGTGTTCCACTGAAAATCTACATGTTTGTTTTTTTTCCACTGACCGCCACTAGAGGGCACTCTAGGCTTTTGTACCACTGAAAATCTACATGTTTGTTATTTTCGCACTGACCGCAACTAGAGGGCACTCTAGGCTTGTGTTCCACTGAAAATCTACATGTTTGTTTTTTTTCCACTGACCGCCACTAGAGGGCACTCTAGACTTGTGTACCACTGAAAATCTACATGTTCGTTATTGTCACACTGACCGTCACTAAAGGGCACTCTAGGCTTGTGTACCACTGAAAATCTACATGTTCGTTATTTTCACACTGACCGCCACTAGAGGGCACTCTAGCTTGTGTACCAGTATCTGCTACTCCTGTATCACTGGGAATCTAGATGTGCGTTATTGCCGCCCGACCAGCCGCTAGAGGGCACTCTAGTGATTTATATTCCGGAAAATACTGCAAAAAGTGAATGTCTGTGTTTAAACCTAAACATGACAAAATCCTCAAAAACTCAAATTTTCTGATTGAAAATATATAAATACACGAGAACACACATATTTTGAAGCAAAGCTAAATGAAGTGGATCCATATAAGGCCAAAAAGTGAATGTCTGTGTTTAAAAGCTAAACACGACAAAATCCTCAAAAACCCAAATTTTGTGATTAAAAAATATATATATAAATACACGAGAACACGTATTTTGAAGCAAAGCTAAATGAAGTGGATCCATATAAAGGTAAACCTCAGGATCCCAGATTACTGAGGTCCAGACAGTAAGCCTATTAGGTAGATCACAGCACTGAGTTACGGCCAATGTCGTTATGAAACGACAACAGGCCTGACCTTGGAGCGCTGTCATTTAAATGGACAATCCTTGTTCCAGGGGAACGATCATCCGTCTGTGTGCTGAGGAAATTATAACGGTGAAGACTTAGACCTGTACGACATGGCGCAAACAAAGCCTGGAGTGTTCAGAGGTAAAAAAAAAAAAAAAAAACACACACAGTTACACTCTGTCACCTGAAGAGGTCACCTGGGAATGACATGCTCCGATCCCCACCCGACAAATCCCAAGGAAAGTCTTTTTTTTCGCCACATTTTTAAAATGTTAATAAGATTAAATTTAGATAAAAAATAATAATAACAAAAATATCACAACTATATAAAACCAAAACTATAACATGTCGGGAAAATAAAAACCTCATATAGTTCAATATCAAGGGTCGTGTATTTGCAAGAATCCGGCGATACGACACGTATTGCAATACAGAAGCAACGAGACAATATATTGTGATACTATAGTCACGATGATACTGTATATTGAGTTTTTCCCCGCAGTGTAACTGTAGTCAAATTCTGAACATCAGTTCCTAACACTGGAACAGAGGGATCTACATTTGGAATCACTAGAGAAGAAAGAAAAGAATTTGCAGGATTTTTTTTGGATAAACATGTGAAAAAATTTAAAATAGTTTGAATCAAAGTCTCAAATACACGCAAATATATGAAGTCCTTGTACAATCAAGAAGCGGTAGGAGGTTTAAATGAACCAACGCCTTGAATATTTGACTGTTAACTGTAAAATATCAATACACAAAATACTGCGATATTTCAGTATACTGCAATTTTCACAGCTACAGGAGAACAAGTCAAGAAAATTAAAATCTAAAAACGTCCGATATTTAACTCAGACTGTGACGTAACGTAAAATATCATCGGACATTTACGTCTTTGCCTGTATGGAAAAGTATGTTTTTTTTTTTTTTTTCCTATTTTGGGAGCAGTGGGGGTCGCGGGTACAAGGCACAGGAGGAAGGAGGAGGGGGCTCAGTAAGAGCCACTTTCTTATGTTAAGCAGGCGTGCGGCTGTCTTCTATTGTGTGGCGTGAGGACTCTTTTCTCCGGCCAATTTGAACATGCTTCAGTGGCCAGCCTGGCTCTGGCCCCCTGACGCATTATACAGAGCCACAACAAAAGCTGGAGAATGTTGCCTGCTCGCTGCATTGCCTGCCCCCCGCCTGGTCCCCCCCCCCCCCCACCCTCCCCATCATTGCTCTACTCTACACTACGTTCCCCAGGCTCCCCTACCGCTCCTTCAAACTGACACACACACACTGGCAGTCCAGACTGCCTACTCTGGGCCCCTGGCCAACATGTCAGTCTAACGGAGCGCGACAGACGTCAATCCTTAATTAATCACGTATACGCGGCGGGGGCTCAAAACATTATTTAACGACATGGAAAACATTCTAACAAGCTTGTCGCTTTGCCAAGGTGCAATAGAAACCAAACTAGGAGGGCACTCCAGTACACACACACACACACACACACACACACACCCAAAATACACCTCTATGCCGACAGTATTTGCTTTGTTTCTGTTTCATCTCCATCCTGGAGGAGCGACGCACGAACTGATGCTGTGATAAAACACAGAAGGGTTGTTTTTTTTTTTTTTCCCCTACAACTCTGTTTTGGAAACCGCTCACAAATTATTTAAAATAAATAAATAAATAAATCAATAAAAATCAATAAGACACATTATTACATTATTGTCAGTCTGATGTGAAAGTCCATACATCGCCACCAGGGTAAAAAGTAAACGTCAAGTCAACACATGCTCTTATTCAGTGACAAACTGCACAGGTGTTGTATGTGTTTTATTGGTGCGCCCTCTAGTGCCGAGTCACGCAACAACACACTGTTGAGACTGAGCGGTGGTCGGCTGTTTCTACCTGGTCGTCGCTTGTGAAGCCCTTATGGAGGACGTAGTAGAGATGAACTAAGAAATCACTGTTGGGCAGCAGGTCCTGGTGCCTGGTCATCATCTCACAGATCAGTGTGTACGCCTGCAGTTTGCCAGCCTTATATTCAACTGGCAGCATCGTGGCCTGTGATGGTGAGGGAGACAACGGTTTTAGTAAAAAAAAAAAAAAAAAAAAAAAAATTTTTTTTAGATGTTTTCAAATTTTTGTTTTTCCCTTTAACACCGGGATGGCAAAGATAAGGCTCATGGGCCAAAACCGACCAGCTAGGGTGTTCAATCTGGCCATGATTTTTGAAAGTAAAAAAAAAAACAAACATCACAAACAACATTTTAGTAAAAAAAAATCCCTTATTTCTACTGTTTTAAATTTTAGATGTTTTCAAATTTTTGTTTTTCCCTTTAACACCGGGATGGCAAAGATAAGGCTCATGGGCCAAAACCGACCAGCTAGGGTGTTCAATCTGGCCATGATTTTTGAAAGTAAAAAAAAAAACAAACATCACAAACATCATTTTAGTAAAAAAAAATCCCTTATTTCTACTGTTTTAAATTTTATATGTTTTCAAATTTTTGTTTTTCCCTTTAACACTGGGATGGCAAAGATAAGGCTCATGGGCCAAAACTGACCCGCTAGGCCATGATTTTTGAAAGTAAAAAAAAAAAAACATCACAAACATCTTATGATCAGGATATTTTTTTTGTAAAATTATAAATTTAATGTGTCTTAATAAATAATTTTCACAGTAAATATCTAATAGACTTGTACTTGTTTGCATGAAAACAAAGGTGAAAAACATGGATGTAATTTTATTTGTAGTTATGATGATAGTGGTCCGGCCCACTTGACATCTAATATGGTAGTATGCGGCCCGTGAACCCAAATGAGCAACTAGTGGAGGTGAAAAAAAAAACAGCTGCTGTTGAATGAAAATTATTTGTAGTTATGATGGTACTGGTCCGGCCCACTTCTAATCACATCTAATATGGTAGTATGCGGCCCGTGAACCCAAATGAGCAACTAGTGGAGGTGAAAAAAACAACAGCTGCTGTTGAATGAAAACTTTAAGAAATGTTTCTTAAAAAATTTGATGAATTTTTCGGGTGGTGAATGTCCAAAAAAAAGCTTTTTCCTATGAAGGTGATCACAATTTTCACTAGAATTTCTATGGAACAAACATGATGTTCAAGTGCAGGGGTCACCAAAGTGGGGCCCGGGGGCCTCTGATAGTCCTTGTGGATTACCTAAGAGGCCCGTGGGGTATGTGGTAAAAAATCAAACTAGTCAACAAGAGGGTGAAACACTGTACTGTTTCTGTGTTTTTTGAATCAGTTCCACTTGACGATGATGAGTCATTTGTTTTCTTTTTGATTATTATTACGTTGTTGGTGAAGTCTGTATCAAACAAGCAGCTCTTCGTAATTACTGAGTGACCTTAAAGTAGCTCTCAGTTTCAGAAAGGTCGGTGACCCCTGCTCCAGTGCTGTCGATTTAAGATACAAAGTATTCAAACTGTGTTTGTTTGTTCCAACCTCTGCTCAGAAGTGACGGGGAAGCTGCAGGTTGCGTTTTTATAACAAATAAATATGCCAACGTACCCGAAAGAGCCAGGACGCCAACATGCGCAGCGGTGGGATGAAGGCAGGCTGCGGGGGAGAAGACTGATTGTCCAGACTTATACCAAGGTTGTCCCGGATCTGGAAATAGTCAGTAACTTCAGTGTCAGTTAACAGCCTTGGTAAATCCATTATTGTCACGTGAAGGTGGTTGAAGTCGTCGTTTACTCTGTATAAATATACCTTGGCCAGTTTGTGCCAGAGCTCATAGAGGTAGGAGAAGACCTTGGCATGAATTCTGGGGCAGCTGATGCTGTTGACGTCTCCTAGAATACCCAATATCCTCCTCCAGAGGACAAAGGCTGAATCAGCATGCCAACCAGCCAGCGTCCCACCAGCGATGATGCTGACATCGTCGGCCAGACACTCGCTGCTGTCTGAACATTCACAGAGAAGCCATAGATCAAACGGTTTGTTAAAACCAAGGTTTAAATCAAACCAAAAAACTAAACTTTTTCGATTGATAATATTTTGCTCAACAAATGCAGATTGTACCAAAAAAAAAAAAAAAAACATTCCATGAACGGGTTTTTAAAATCAAACATGACATGACAACAAACTCCAGAGTCATTCTGTTTCTGTGAGAGCGGTCGTTAAAAAACATCAGTCGCTGCATGTTTCCCCAACAGTATCTGAGTACCAACATCTTCATCTGCTGAAATTAATTCAAGTACTTCAAGACCTGGGAGGGAAAAAGGCAGGAGTCACATGCATGGGCTGAAAAAGAACTCAGAGTCAGCTGTAGGAGGACAGTGCCATCTAGTGGTTAGGCGGAAAAAAAGATCAGGGCGCACAGGCTGGGAAGGGAAAATGTAACAAAAAATGATGTGGCAGATCTGAGGCGTTTTAAAGATTTGTTTTTAGTTAAACAAATAAATCACGGTTTACAGGAAAACAAAGAGAGAATTTGACACGCAGTGATTTTTAGTCACAGACAGATCTGCAACGCACGACGACAGGTGGTGAAAAGAGAGCGATGGAGAATGCAGACAAGCCTCTGATACTTTAAGAAGCACAGAACATGTTTAGTCTTGACAGTCGAGGCGATGACGAACAACTAGGGGGCAGTACCGAGGTGACGTGGCATGTGTAAGACAGACTGATGCATGGTGTCGTCCAGGGGGCAGTCCCGCGGGCACTCTGTGTGCACCAGCAGGGCTGGTGAGGAGGGGGGGTTCAGAGGGTAGTGGTAGTGGTAGGTCGGGGGGGCAGAGTGGGTGGGGGAGGCACATTCAGAACCTAAAAAAAACAACAACAACATAAACAACAACAACAAAGGAACAGGGGGAGGGGCAAAGGAAGAGACATGAGACAACTTTATGATGACACGACAAAAACAGTTACAGACGAGGAGGGGGGGAGCGGACTGGAGGGGGCGCTAAAACCTGAGGGACTGACGGTTAGATCATCATTTTGAACATTAGAAAATATGATGATGTTTAATCAAGATTTTCTTTTTTTGTTTTTTTTACTTCCCGTACCTGCCAGGGCGTCAGTGTGGCTGAGCAGCAGACTGCCCTCACTGCGGGGGTCGGCCGTCACATCCATGTGGGCTGACTGTGAGTCAGCCTCTTCGTCAAAAGTCACCTCCGCTTCATTGAGGTAGCCATTGGACGTCTCACTGCTTACACTTTCACCTGGGTTGAAGTTATAGGAAATATATCAATATATTAATATATTGTGTTTTAACTCCTAGCAAATACTGACTAGGAATGAAAGAGTGGAAAGAATCTAGCGATTTGATACGTATCACGATACAGAGCCACGATACGATGTATTGCAATATATATTGCGATACTGCAGGCACAGCAATATATTGAGGTCCCCCCCAGTGTAGCTGTAGTCCCAGGGTGATCCTAGTCCCCCCCCCCCCAGTGTGATCCTAGTCTCAGACTCTGTTCCATCTGAACATCAGTTCCTAACTCTGGAACAGAGGGATCTACATTTGGAATCACTAGAGAAGAAAGAAAAGAACAAGAACATGAACCAACACCAGGAATATTGGAGAAAATCAAGAACTGATCAATGACTGAGGAGATTGATACGGGATCAGGAGAGGACAGATCAGGAGAGGACAGATCAGGAGTACAGTGACCGGTGCTGGTCCGTAGGTCATTTGGTACTGGGCCACAGTGGGACAAAGTGAAAAAATGTATTCATAATTCGTACTATACTGATCCCATATTTGAGAAACTGTTGTGTTAGCAACAGATATGCTGTTAACAGGCTGACACTAGCAAGCGCAAAGCATGTGGTGCCTCTGAGAATCGAACCCAGGATTCTCTGCTTCGGAGGCAGGCGAGCTAACCGCTACACTACAGCGGTTACACTACTGCATGCTAGCTGCTACACTATGGAACCGACTTTAATAATCCAGTCATGTCCCTTAACTGTTTTCATTCAAAGATAATCTGTCAGTGTTTCAGAACAACAGGTCAAAGGTCATTCAGACTGGCACTAACAGAAGAAAGACTGAAAGATGTTTTATTTTGAAAATTTAATGATCCTTCAACGATGTCGCGGCGTTACCGCTCAACAGTAACGGCTGACACCGGCCGACCGGACTTCTGCTGTAGGATATCAATACGATATCATTACGTGTATCGATACTTACTTTACACCCCAAATACCAAATGATATAAATTCTTACTTTTCTCCCTGAGCTTAACCCTGGTGTAGGTGACGTGTCCGTCCTCCGTCTCAGCTGCGCTGCTGCTTCGCCGGATGTGGATCTAAGAACACAGAAATACTTTCACTTCAGAGGATATCAGTGAATGACTAAAACCAATTTCATTTTTTTCGTTTATTTTAAGATGTGAAAATGTCAAGGTCCTCCTCACCACCGGGGGTTCAAAGCTTTCTCTGCGGCCGTCAGACGTCCTGCTGTCCGAGCCAGAGGACACGGGGGAGCACTCTCTTTTCTGGGCTGAAGAGAAACAGAACACATTATTTGAAAGAGTTATTTAAAAAAGATCAAATTACTGCCCCACACCCCCCCCCCCCCCCCCCCCTCTTTTCTGCTTATACACCACATTCAGGGTTCTTTGGTAACATAACATCAAGGGCAATGAACAAGAGTTATGTAAAGCATTGTTTCCCAAAGACTGGGTCGCAACGCTTAGGTGGGTCGCAAGAGATTTTTTGGGGGGGTCGTCTTGCATCATGTTTCCCAGGAGTTTACAAATAATGTCTACTGACTTGGGTCGCAAAGGTTTGTGACTTTGAAAATATGGGAAACACTGACTTTGATTTAGCAACTTAATAACATGTGTGACATAAATATTGTTGTGTTAAACAAATAAAGCTGAAGATGTTCTGTGTCAAAATTTACCTGGCAGGGTTTCAGACAGCTGTTGTGTGATGTCAGAGGTGCTGCTGCTACGTGGCAGGGGGCTATCCCCGGCTCCCAGCTCCTCCTCCCCGCCACATTCTGACAACTGACACTCCTCCAGGTCTAAAACAAGCAAAAGGTTTCACAACATTTACTTCAAATATAAAACAGCAAAAAAAACAACAACAAAAAATAGAAATCTAAAGTTTAAACAAAGTGGGATGCTTCATTAGATCTAATGAATAATAAGAAAATTCAGACACATTCATTGGACACACGGAAGGACTGAGTGAGGTCACGTTAATGCAGTGGTGATGGAGAGACTCGATCTGGTCATGATACTCAGACTAACACCAATGTCGTGCAAACATACAGATGGTAACAGTCAGGTGAAAAGGCAGGACGGCAGTGGAAACAAACAAAAACAAACAAACAAACAAACACAGAACACATGCAGCTCTCAGAAAACACCACATTACCTGAGAGTCTGTGAGAGCAAGCAGAGTTACCAGAAGAGATACCAGGCAAGAAAGAGCTCACAGTGTGGAGCAGCATAGGAACACTTTTAGTAGTGGGCAAAGCCTCGTATAGATGAACACAGTTGCTGATGGACTGGCTTCGCTTAGCTTCCATCAGGGCAAGAACAACAAAGACGGCAGACAAACAGTGGACATACCAAAGAAAGTAAAGGGAAGAAGACAGTATTCAGTGACAGTAAAGTATAGAAATGCCAAAAAAAAAGGTGCTGCCTTTGAAAATACATGAATGAGCAGGAACTATTTAACAAACAAAAACCAGAAACACAACCTTCCTGTCAGCTCCACAAAGGTTCCTTTTTTATGCTGTATAAATGACAGTGCTGCTCTACGCTGATGACACTCAACTTATTTTATTTAAAAGCCATTTAGAAATTCTCACTGGGGTTTAAACGACCTGATCATAACTAGCAGTGATGGAGAGTACTGTTTTTTTTTTTTAATTTAAATGTGATTTTTTTAATGTGATTAATTTATTTAACATTGTGATATATATATATATACGTATTTATATATGTATATATGTATATATATATACATACGTATATATATGTTAAATGTATATATATATATATATATATATATATAGTTATATATATATATATATATTATCTGTTCGGTAAAGTCAACTTTAACGGCAAAGCCTCAACCTAAGAAACTGGTCGAGGCGGTTGAGTCCAAAAAGTCCATTTGTAAAAGTAATAGAGAATTAATAGAAGTTTGTCCTTCAGCCAGGCAAAATTACATTATTACTACAGGTGCACCAATTGCAATTTTTTGTGTCGTTTCTGATATTTTTAATAAGTGTGTCTCGCCGATACCAATTTTGCTGATTACGATTTTTTTTTCTCCCAATTGACAGCATTCACAAATATTAAAAAGTTTGTATTCTCATCACAAGTAAGGATTTCAAAATAAACACTTTTATAAAAATATAAAGTAAAATATATAAATTTATATATATATATATATATATATATATAAACATACATATACATAGATTAAAGTTGCTGATTGACTGGTAATTGTTACTGTTAAAAAAGAAATGCAAAAAATGAACACGATATCTCTGGAACCTGAGAAACCTGGAAGATTTCATTACAAATATCTGTCATTTAAACTGAGAAAAACATTACATTTTTAACAACATCGTGCGATTTGTGATGAAACCTTAAAAATTACTACACAAACGTATCAATAATCTTTCACTTTACTGTTGCTTTTTAAATATTATAAAATGATCATTTCCAATTAAATCAATTGTAAACAAACAGGAACATCCCACTGTAAACACAGCTTAATTATGTATATGTCCGGAGGTTGTATAAGCGTAATATTCATCACACCATGTTGTTGTTGCTGTTGTTGTTTAGACGTAGTATTTGTCAGAACAATACTTTTTTTGTTGTATTTTCATGCATGAGTGCAGCCAAGTTTCCACAGTTGTCAACGCAGAGGCATTGTCATTGTGTGTGGATGGCACTTCAGGTTTAATCTCAAAGAGGACAGTGAACGTGGAGGGGGTGGGGGGGTCGTGTGGGGGGGGGCAGCTCTATTCTCCGCTCTCTGCTCACTTTAATTACGCCTGTGTGGGAGAGAGATACTGCTGCACAGCTACGGCCGAGCGCTGCCTCCCGTGTATGCATATTAATGAGCATTAATTACCTTCTTAATGAAACTATCAAATAAACTGGGGACGGGCAATTGATGTGTGGGTCTTCTCCTGAGGAGCGGAGAGCACGACCGTCGGCCCTTTGAAGATCAATGTGGTTCGAATCCAATTAGGGCCGAAGAATAGGGAAGAGGATTTTGAAGCTGTAGTGTCTGTGCTCACACAGACGCATCTGAACGGGCCGAGTGGGAAGGTGCATAAATACAAACACAGGACCATCCACGACGCGTGTTTACTGGACGTGTATGGAGCGCGTCGGGGATGGACGCATATATGACCAAAACACAGCTAAAAAAAAACAAAAAAAAAAAAAACGGAGGTCTTTGAATGTCTCAGACCGGGGGTGTTTTAAATTCCTGGCCCAGGATTTATTTGTCCCACATGTTTGATGTCTTTGGGGAATCGAACCCAGGACCTTCTGTGTGTAAGGTAGGCGTGTTTTATTTTTTTCGGGATGTCAGATATTAACTTTTTGCCGATATCTGTTATGCTGATGTTGTCCGAACACTAAATATCCGTTTGCGTTACCATCTGATACCGATATAACGGAGCAGCGGTGGCCTGGTGGTTAATTAAGGTAACTACCGCCTGCTCACTAAGACGATGGGTTAAAGCAGTGTTTCACAATTATTTTCTGCCATGCCCCCTCTAGGGGACAGAAGTTTTTTTCACGATTTACAACAATTGTGTTTGAATAAAAGTTCTGTTGCTATTTTTAGGTCACACATCTTTTTTTTTTTTTTTACGTTATCGGGTTTTCATTATCGGAGGAAAAACCGATAATGATTCATATTATTATAATATTACATAACTATGCTAATATTAGCATAATCATCCCTACATTTGTGTATAGAACATCAAACACTGATGTGTGCCTCCAATAAATTGACGGTGGCAACAATGGCCCCCAGCTCATCGGAGTTTGGGACCCCCGTCTGAGACATGAACCTTCCATCCTGTTAGGGCGACGACAACAACCAGGACAGGAACTACAGGAAACTCCGGGCAAAACCTACAACCAGCCTGTCACATTCTCCTCAGATTAGGGCGGGGCAGTGTGTGCACTCAGCTCATGACAATAAGTGTCCTCTGACACGCTGTCAAAGAACCGCGGCCTGTCGCTACAATGGAGCTGACATGGAAACATGTTCACATTGGCCAGTGACGTACGAGGGGAACAATAAGGGGTCATCTGTCTCTTTGTCTTTGGTGTGGGGCCTTTCAATTGCACCTGCGGTTGTGGCCACACGGACCTGTCTTGAGGCTAATCCTACTGATCTAATAAAACCCATGGTTTGGTGTTGGGTTTTTTTCTGTCAGAACTAGAATAACACAACCTGGCTACAACATTAGCCTAGCATTCGGCTACAACATTAGCCTAGCATTCGGCTACAACATTAGCCTAGCGTGCTCAAACATCAATAGTGTTGATGTTAACTTACCAGAGGCTTTCTGTCTCACATTGTACCGGGCCTTTTCCACACCAGGAGCTCCTGATGTAGTGGCCGAGCGGATCCTCATGGGCTCCTGGGCCCCTTGACCGCACTGCTCAACCTGGTTCCTCCAGCTGAGTGAGAAAGAACGCGCCACCGCCGATTTCTGGGAGTCCTGGATCACTCCTGACGTGCGCAGAAAAAACACAAAATAAATAAATACCAAATTAAAGGTGACTATAATAAAATATATAATAAAATATAATATATATATTATATAATATATATATAATATAATAAATAAAATAATATATATAGAATGTTTATATATTATATTATATTATACATATAATTGTATGACAGTACAATATATACATAATTATATAATATGTAATAATAAATACATTATAATAATAAAAATAATAAATGCATAACACATTATATTATATATAATAATATAATAATAATAAATAAAATAATCGACATTGATAATATCAAATTATTGATAATTTATTAGAAGCGCGTCCTGATAGTCACTAAGCTAATTTGTCATTAGCTACACGTGTGAATAGTGTAAAGTCAATGTGTTGACAAAATTATAGGTACTTCTTAAAAATTCCACTAAATTTTAAGACCATAATTCCTAGAAAACTGTTGTTTTTTTTTTTTTAATATAAATGAAGAAACTTTTTCCTACTGTGGCACAAATAAAAAAAAAATTAATAAAAATGTATTTGACCCCCCCAATAAACAATAACTCTCTGCTTCCCACTTTGGTAACCACTGTTATACAGTAGGTTTTGCATAAGAAACTGTTACTTTGCAAGTGGTCAGGAGGTACCTCACTGACCAGTAGAGGTGTACAAAAATTTCAATACACTGAAATATCGCGATATTTCCTCTCCTGTATCAATCTCCTCCTCCATCAGTTATTGATTTTTTCTCACCAATTCCCAGTCCAATATTCCTGGTGTTGGTTCATTTTCTTTTTCTTTTTTTTTTTTTTTTTTTTTCTTTCTTCTCTAGTGATTCCAAATGTTGTGTTCCAATGTATAAATCAATCAATAAATCTACCTAAAAAATACCTATAGTATTGCATTAAATCGCAATATATCGTACTTTTGCCCCTGTATCGTGATACGTATCGTATCGCCAGATTCTTGCTAATAGACACCCCTACTGGCCAGACAGTGCAAAGTCGGTCAGAGGGCTGCGATGGAATCTTCTAGACTTTCAATGTGTAAGTGATAAGTGCCAACCGAACTCATGAACCGTCTACGTTAGTATCGGACCACCCACCCAACCCAACCTTCGTAGGGCTGTTATTTTATTTTACACTTTTCAAAAGTTATTTCTGAAAATATTTTCACTTCCTGTCCGGTTCCCCCCCGAAGCCCCGTCCTCACCCCGTCCTCTCTGCTTCTTCTCCTTCTGTTCACTGAGTTTGTCCAGCGGCAGGTTGGCCATGTCCAGACCGTAGACGCAGCGTGCCAACACCACAGTCAGAGAGTCCATGATGCTGGCCCACTCCGTCACCAGCTCCTCCCAGCAGGTAAGAGAAGAGAGCACCGCCAGCAGCTCATCCCAGAGCTCCCGGGAAATAAATACGGACAGGTTGGCTCGTACCCACGCCACGATGATGGTCTGGATGTGAGGAGAGACAGAGTACAATCAACATCCAGACAAGGAAAACCTGCCCCCTCCTGGAAGGTTTTGACAACTGGTGTCTCAGAGAGTCTCAGAGTGGTACAAAAAAATATATTATTTTTAAATGCAAGTGCAATTTTTTTAAATTTCTCAGTGAAACAATTGCAGTAAATATTAAAGGGTTCTTCTAGAAAACAACTGAAGTAAATGCAGTAAATTACAGCTAAATTACAGCAAGTGAAGGTAAACGAGGAAATGCTTGATTACAGAGGTGAAGATGGGGGGTGTGGGGGGACGTTGTCAGGAAAACCACTATACAACAACCATAACGGTTTTAACAGACATATATATATGTATACACAAAATTCAAAAATACATAGATAAATAATAATAAATAGTAATAAATATTAATAAATAATAAATAGAAAAAGTACAGTTATAGTCATAGTAGGTCATAGAGTATACATATATATGTATGTATTTATATATTTATATATATTTATTTATATGGGTATGTATAAATGTATGTGTGTGCATATAAACACACACACATATACATATGAATATGTATATGAATATCGATACATTTATGTATACACAAATATATATGTATGCATGTATGCATATTTATATTTGTATGTATGTGTGTATATATGTATACTGTATATTTACATATACACATATATACATATACTTGAATGGTTTTATGTATATTTTTATATGGGTGTTGGATAGTTGGGGGTGTTTTTCTTTTTTTTTTCATATACAGTTTTCCTGTATATGTCCGTACTTAAGTTTTAACAGTGGGAATTCCAACATTTGTGCACAACTTGAACGCACCATTAGCTGTGGCACACAAACATGTCACAGTGTCCTCAGTTCCATCTGCGCCCATGCCTGGTTAGTCTCTTTCTTTGGAACTGAAACGAGGAACAAAGTCGTGCGTTTCTAGAGCTATGTTTGATGCAGACGTACCCTGAAAAGCACGGACGCCAGTCTCTCAGCGAAGCTGTCTTTTCTTTGGTTTTCCTGCGGTCGTTTCATCACCGCCTCCGTGATGCGCAGCAGCACCTGCAGCAACTGCTCCCTGTCCAACAAACACAAACGTCAAACACAGAAAAGTCACATGAGAAATAATAATAATAATAATAATAAAACAGTTGGTCGTGGACATGTTGACTGAATATCTGACTGACCAGGTCTGCGTGTTCATGGTGTGCTCCATGATCATGTGACGATAGATGTTAAGGACACCCTTGCACACCTCAACCTGGTTATCTAGGAGTTTAGGAACATCCTGACATGGCTCCAGGAGGAACACGTTGGATGAGTTGGTCAGGAACACCTACGGACGTTAGTTCATGCCAGTCAACGCAAACTCATCATCGTGGAACGTTAGAGAACGAGTTACATGTAAGTAGAAGTCGTCAAACCAGGATGACTGACCTGTAGCGTGGGCTGGATGCCAGCCTTAACGTCTCTGTTCTCCTCCTCGGTGAGAAAGCCCCGGCTGATGGCACTGCTGAAAGAGTACGTCCTCCCCCAGCTGGACGTCCGCTTGTGTCCATGACTCTCCATCTTATGAAGGAAAGTCATAAAGACCATCGTTATCCAAGTCACCTTACAGACATTCATTTTACGAATACAAATAAACAACAGTGGAGCTAATTAGGTTCTCATCACAATTGTATTCAATTACAGTGAAGCTGAATACATTTTAGTGACTAATTAATTGATGAAACGTTGGGTCACTGCCTTCACCTGAACTTTTAAACAAACATCTTGTAAAGCAAACCATATTTGAGAATAATTTAGTTTTTTCAAGTAGTTATATTGTAATCCATTAGGGGGCACTATTTCACCGTCAGTGCCTTTTGTATTAGTAAAACAAAACAGAAACACCAAGGCAGAGGTGCCTATACTTTCCTTTGGCTTGGAAGAAAACGAATTAATTATTTTGACCATTTAGATGGAAACGTTGTGTCACTGCCTTCACCTGAACTTTAAAACAAACATCTTGTAAAGCAAACCATATTTGAGAATAATTTAGTTTTTTCAAGTAGTTATATTGTAATCCATTAGGGGGCACTATTTCACCGTCAGTGCCTTTTGTATTAGTAAAACAAAACAGAAACACCAAGGCAGAGGTGCCAATACTTTCCTTTGGCTTGGAAGCTCCAAATCACATGACCTGACTAAAGTGATCTACTGTACATATATTTATGATAAATATACAGTATATATTTACGCATATGACTGGAACATACATTATATGTTGGGGCACTGATTAAATGCACGTTGTTCTGTGGCACGATATGATTCAATTCTTGCATCACATGGTCACTACTACACACACTACAATATTATATATATTTATATATATATATATACATATATATATAAATATATATACATGTGTATATACATATATGTCCATATATATTTATATACATATATAAATATATATCATACACATACACACATATATATACACATACATATATATACATACAGTGCTGTGGATCTGCTGAGGGCCTCCGTCCACTTCACTCTCCCGGGTGTTTGCCTCAGGCTCCGTCATGAAACTGGGCTTTTCCTGGAGTATCCACTTCCTGTAAACCTTAATCACCTTCCTTGTTGCTGATGCTTCACAAGATGGCAGTAGAAAAGCCTTGAAAAGGGAAAGGACACGAAGACACGTGAAGCTATAAATAAGACTACAAAAGTCTTCAAGGCCTGGTTGGTTGTAACATGCAGTTTTCTAATTATCCAGCAGAGGGAAGCATTGTGATATTGATCACACAGCACGAATTAGATGGAAACCAGAGTTTCACTGTACCTGGTGGAAGACCTCGTTAACAAAATTCACATTGTCCCTGGTGGAGAGCAGGATGCCGTGCACCATTTCATAGACATGGCGGTGCTCCTCGTCGATGCTACATATACTGGAATCACTGGGCCGTCGATCTGACAGCGTGCTGCTGTTGGAGTGGCTCTTCTCGGGCTCCCCTGCTGGTGCGTTCGCGTCCCCCTCCGATGTTTTCTCCTTCTCCTTCTCTTTCTCCTGGCTGCTACCGCCTGCAGTGACAGTCTGGCGACCAGAGGGGGAGCCGGAAAAGATAGAGACTTGAATATTTGGCCCAAGAATCTCAATAACAACAAATTCCTCGATGAATTGGTCACATTCTGAATTATTGTATCAGTTTTTTAGCTACAGACTGGATATATTTTTTCTTTGAGAATAGTCTGTTTTAGTGTAAAAATGTAGAAACTGTATCACAAGATGAGCTGGGAAAAATATAAAACATATAAATTTGGAACTGACTGAGTGCTGAGACGGACCATTTTCTTTTAATAATTCTTTTGTACAGTTTTAACTGTAATTTCATTTTTGTCCACATTTAATGTAGAATTAGGACTTCCAGAGTTGATCTCTTCATGGTAGCTGTTTTCTGATTATCTTATTTTTATGATTTTATTTATATTAAATAAAAATAGAAATTTCTTTTTCCACTGAAACAGTTTCATTCTTTTTTTTTGTTATTCTGTCAAAAACCCTTTGAATGAGATTCAAAACCTACGTTGACAGTTTGAAACCTGAACATCAGTGAGTCGTCTGTCATCTTCACCTGGATGAGTTTAGGAATGACCTCCGTGCCGTTCTTGGCGCTCTGCGCCACGGCGGCACTGTTGACGTACTTCTTCTCCAGGAAGAAGGTGACGAGCCAAGTGATGAAGGCCACGCGCGGAGCGAGGTACTGGTCCCTGGTGCAGAAGGTGCTTTCGTTGTTCCGCGTGACTGGCACGTACAAGGGTTTTGGTCTGTGGTGTGGGAGGTCTGGGTAAGGAGCAGAAAGGGAAAAGAAACATCTTGAAATATTTTTACTTTCATCACATGAAGGGACGAGTCTAAACAGGTCTTACAAAAATCACTCTGCCGTCCATCTCTGAAAACCATATATGATGAAGTCAAATCTGTTTGAGAAAATGATGTAGAACGGGGAGTCGAACTCATTTTCACCGGGGGTCACATTAGCAATACAGTTCCCCTTAAAGGGCCGGATGTATCTCCAACCCCCGGTCTGTGGACCAGAACCAGTCCATAGGTCATTTGGTACCGGGCCACAGTGAAAAATTTACTTAATTTTTGCTAATTTACTTCATTCAAAGAATTCATTCATATCCATTTACTTTCTTTATTTAAATAATAGTAATAATTATTAATATAATAAAAATATAAAACTAATAATAATAATTTACAGAATAGAGGTTAAGAAACTCTTTAGTAAATGCTTTTTGAGCTCCCGCGGGCCACATAAAAACGGCTTGGCGGGCCGCATTTGGCCCCCGGGCCTTGAGTTGAGACACATATGATCTAGAGGTTTGAATTCCTGTGTATCATGTGCACTGGCGAGCCACATGTGATGCATTTAATGACAGAGGCTGTCATTAAATATAAAAATTGACCATGGGCCACAACTGGCCCCGAACCAGACTTTGAACACACCTGAGTTAGGGTACGGATGAAGATTTAGGTTTACATTTGTGACGATGTGGTGATCAGCTGTGTGCTACTAAAACATGTGTAACTTTTAGGTGTGTACGAAAAATATCGATACGCTGAAATATTGCGATATTTCATTTCACAATACTGTATCGATCTTCTACAGCACTGTATTGATTTTTTTTTATTAAGAATGTAACAACATTTTGTGTTTACTATACTGACAGTTTTACTAGAAATAAAACGTTTAAGATCAACTCAATATATCGTGGCGCCTACAGTATCGCAATATATCGCAATATATCGTATCGGTGTATTGTGATAGATATATCGTATCGGCAGATTCTTGCCAAGTACTAGACATGACTGCACAAATCGATGAGCAATATTTAGGCTTACCTAATAAAGGCTTGTAGAGGTTTGTGAGCTTGGTGAAGGAGGGGAACAGATGTGGAAGGTAGTACTTTTTGAACAGGCTGAAGAGGAACCTGAAGCCCGTGTTCTGGTTTTCTTTGTTCTTCCATTCTAAACTGGATGCCTGGCAGACAGACAAGCACAGAGGCAGACAAGGTTAGGCGACAGGAGGAGCGGAGTGTTCCAGCGTCACTCAGACAGAATTGGTGCATTGTTCCAAACACAACAGTCTGAAGGTCCTCCTTCAGGCGCTGTGCACAAAGGAGACGGAAGTCTGGGCTGCGGGCGTAATTCTTTTACATACCACCAACATGGTTTTCACTGCTGCTTACAACTGAAATTAAGACAACGACATCCCGAGACCACATGACCACGGCGGCTACACAGACACGATGAAATCAACATTAGGTATTTTGAATAATTTACTTCATTTTAAAAAAAAAAATTTAAATTTATTTTTTAAATAACATTTTTTTATCAGTCCCTTCCTGCATTGTTTTGAGGCTCTCAGAAATTTTATAAACACACTGAGTCAGAGCAATGAGACACAAAAGGGGTCTTCAACCCCTGGTCCGGGGGACCGGTACCGGTCCATAGGACATTTGTAACTAGGCCTCAGTGAAAAAAATGTACTTCAGTTTTTACTAATTTACTTCATTCCAAAATAATCCAGTCATATCCCTTTACTGTTTTCATTCAAAGATACTCTGTCAATGTTTCAAAACAACAGGTCAAAGGTCATTCAGACTGTGATGCTGACAGAAGAAAGTCTAAAGGATGGTTTGATTTTGAAAATTTAATGATCCTTCAACGATGGAGCAGTATTACTGGTCCGCAGTAACGGCCGACTGCGCCTTGGTACAAAAGGTCGGGGACCGTTGGCCTAGAAGACATTTCAATCTTAACAAAATGTTAACAAAGTAGTTTATTTGGTGGAAAATTTCTTAACGACAGTGGACTAAAGAATATATCTCTTTTTTTTGTTGAACACCTGTAAAGTGCACGGCGTCATGTGATTTGTACTCCACCTGAATGACCATGTACTTCAGCAGGGTCTCGAGGATGAAACACGTCTGGTCATCTGCCAGTTTTTCTCCCACCACCGCAGGGACGAGCGGGGTGATTTCTTCAGGCACCACTTTAGCTGCTCAGATCAATGGGAAACAGAGACCAGGATTAGGAGAAAAAAAAAATCTCTACGTTTCCCTGTGGATCATGAAGATTTGTTATATGTCTTTTATAATCCTGCCTCCATACCATCGGGGGGGTTCGAGAAAGGGTTGTAGATGATTGTGTCCAGTGTACAGGGCCCTCTGGTGGAGGGCACGGCAGGGAACCCTGGCACCAGAGTGGCAAAGATGAGGAACTGCTCCTCAGCACAGTTGTCCCTCAGGGCCTGCAGCCACAAAAGAAAAAGCCGGATCCCCTCGCAGCGAATCTGGGCAGGAGAACATCGCTGCCATTTAAATATGGACACACCAACCTGAACCTAAATTTAACACAGCTTTACAGTGTGTCGTGTCCTGTGTTGTAAAAGATAAAACCATACCTTGAATGAATTTCCAGTGTGAAGAAGCTTTTTGAGAATAGAACCTGAAATAAAACAATAAATAAAAAAGAAATTCAGCTCTTCGTGTTCACGTTCATGTTGAATTTTGTGTTTGTGTTTTTTACTGTATGCAAATGACAAACCATTTAGTAGTGTATACCACTGTTTACCAAAGACTGGGTCGCAACCCTCAGGTGGGTCGCACGATTTACCTTACACAGGATCTGATCGACTGTCACTGTCACAAGTTTCTGGACTAAGTAAGGAACATTCTCTACCACTAGAGGGTAGTATATGTCTATTAAAAACTAAACACAAAGAAAAAGAAAAAAAGACTCAGGTCTCAGGTTTTTGTGTGTCTTTCTTCCATTCCTGCATATAAATAAAGGTTGTGTTCAACTAAACAGGACCAGGTTTTGAACTCACTGTGTCAGTGAGTTAATTTAAACTGGAAGGTCATTATATTTTATTACATATACTTTTTGTGGTAGTTTTGTCTGGTAGAGCGCCATCACAGCCAGGACTATCAAAAGTGAAATTAAACTTTAAAACCTTTTTTCACCTGGATATTTGTGAATATTTAAGCTTCTCTTGTATTATTCTTTACACAAAAGGTTAAATGGACAACAATTCTATTTTGTTCACGTGAAGTTGGAACGTTTTTTTTTTCTTTTTTCATAGCTCTCATAACACTGGGCTGTAGAAAAGAAAGAAATTTAAAAAATTAAATCTGGCTCCATGTTGTGTAGAATAAAGGACGGTGAAAGGCGTTTTCTTCAGCTCTTTCATGGTCATTTACAAATGTCTGACCTTGCAGTTTTTCACTGCAAGGACAAAAAAAAAAAAAGAAAAAAAAAAAAAAGAAAATCATTAGCACTTTTTCCTGGCCTACCCTTAGTGTCAGAGGAATTTAATAGAGTAGAAGAAAAGCTCTTACTGACACTATTGTAAAATGAGAGAAAAATGTGAAAGAAAAAGTTATCCAGGAATTCATGGAAAACTCAGGTATGAGGCTAAAAGAACTAATAAAAACTATTTAGTGAGAGTGCAGCACTGTTGTCAAAGACACATGAACTGATGAACGGCAGTGACATTTACATACCTATACTGTGGAACTGCCACCGATTGTAGATTTTCTCAGGCAGAAGTTGCAGGATTTTCTGAAAACAGAAATAATGATATCATCAGCAAATTTGGAGTTGGTGATTTAGGATCAACAACGAAAACAATCCAGTTTTGAGAAACGTTCGCAGTGATGTTTAGAAGACGAAGAAGAAGATGAAGAAGAAGAAGAAGAAGAAGACGGAGACGAAGAAGACGAAGACGATGAAGACGACGAAGACGAAGAAGGAGAACAGAGACGAGCCTTCGAAGACGAAGAAGAAAAAGAAAAAGACGAAAAAGACGAAGAAGAAAAAGAAAAAGACGAAAAAGACGAAGAAGAAAAAGACGAAGATGAAGAAGAAGAAGAAGAAGACAATGAAGGAGGAGAAGAAGAAGAAGAAAAAGAAGAAGAAGAAAAGGAGGGAGGAGAAGAAGAAGAAGAAGAAAAAGATGAAGAAAAAAGACGAAGAAGAAAAAGACGAAGATGAAGAAGAAGAAGGAGAAGAAAAAGAAGAAGGAGAACAGAGACGAGCCTTCGCATTGGTCGATTAAAGTTCTGTCTTTGTTTTCATGCTGGTAGATGACGTATTCTACAGAGATACAGTAACTGTACCAGAGGTCTTTGTACCATGGGCACAGACTGGATACTTTACTCACAGACAGGAAGTGAGGAGTCGAGACAGCCAGTACTTCAGTAATCATTCATGAGTCTGGAGTCCTGAACCCCAGACACAACCTACAGTATATGACGGTGCAGCTCGTATCACTTGTTCCAGTTTACCAATCAGGCCTTAGCACATTAACCCTTTGCTGGACGTCACTGTGTCATATGTTTTATAAAGTGCTGAACGTTTAAAACAACGTGTCAAGTCAACAACAAACGACAGTCTGCCTCTAGTGCATGGAGTGGTATTATTTTCATGACCCTTTAAGCTAACTATTAAAATAATTCAACAATTTTTAGCTTTAAGCTTTTGTGGTAATTGTGGTTTAAAAAAGGTAATTATACATTAAACTGTGTTTTTTCATCACTTTATGGATTTTTTTTTCTCCCCAATTCCCAGTCCAATATTCCTGGTGTTGGTTCATGTTCTTTTTCTTTTCTTTCTTCTCTAGTGATTCCAAATGTAGATCCCTCTTTTAAGCTAACTTTATTAATTCAATTAATTCAACAATTTTAAGCTTTAAGCTTTTGTGGTAATTGTGGTTTAAAAAAGGTAATTATACATTAAACTGTGTTTTTTCATCACTTTATGGATTTTTTTTTCGCACCGAGGGGAAGAAACACCTCAATATATTGTTGTGCCTATAGTATTGCAGTATATTTCAATATACTGTATCATTGCGACTGTATCGCGATACGTATCGCATCACATCAGATCGTTGCCAGTACACACTCCTACATGTTGAAATTACCTTCACTTTACGGTGAGAGAAGTGAAGAGACACTGGATTTTAAATCAGGAAAAGGAAATGGAAATTTTACACATTATATCATTGGGATCTTTAACCTTGTTGAAAAAAGGCTCCGTTCACTCAGTTCAGTTCAGGCTGTCTGACGACCCTGTGTGTCACTGGACAGCAGAGACAAACGTCACGACTCAATTAGAGTGACCTGACCTTTCTGGAGTCCACCATTATTACAGAATACATCAACAGACCAGCCTGGTCCGTCTGTGACAGCGGTGTGTGTGTGTGTGTGTGTGTGTCCTCCTGGTTAATAATGTGGTCAAAGTAATTGACACCTCAAAATGGCTCACTTCTCATCAAAGTCTAATCACTCACCCAATACATCTTGTCATGATTACAATGTGGAGGTCGAGTCTGTCCTTTGCCGTGTTACGTATTCTGCTCTGAGCCACTCAGCCAGACAGCTGACTCTGAACAGCATGATAACAAGCTCGGCTCAGCGGCCAAGGACGACCCAATCAGGAAAGAAAGAGACGCAGAGGACGACGACAGAGAAGCCTGGTCGGAGTTCACTTAAAAATAAAAAATGTCAAAAGCCTGGTTTTGTTGGCATGTAAAACATTTGTTCAATTCTCTAGCACGGGGGGGCCTAACCCCCGGTCCGGGGGCTGGTGCTGGTCCGTAGGTTATTTGGGCCACTGATAAAAATGTACTTCAGTTTTTACTAATGTACTTCATTCCAAAGTAATCCAGTTATGTCTCTTCACTGTTTCCAATCAAAGATAATCTGTCAATGTTTCAGAACAACAGGTCAAAGGTCATTCAGACTTTAATACTAAAAGAAGAAAGTCTAATTTATTTTGAAAGTTTAATGATCCTTCAACAATGGTGAGGTATTACTGGTCCGCAGTAACGGCTGGTACCGGCCGACCGGACCACCGCTCAGAGGAGAACCTAACGTCAACAACCACAGACAGTTTTCTACTAGATTTTTTGAATCATGTTGTCCACAAAACCTAAACGAATGTAAAAAATTACTGTGTCAAAAAAAAAAAATCCTGAGTTTGTTGAGGTTTTTTTTCTGCAAACTAAATGTGTTGAATAGAATTTTACAGATGAGCCAAGAACTAGATGAAAGGTGACGCGATCGTTACGACAAGACAAACATCTGATTAACTAGATGAAAGGTGATCGTTACGACAAGACAAACATCTGATGCACATTTAATTTAGGAACATGTGAAATTTAGGGGTGTGTCTTGGCAAGAATCTGGCGATACGATACGTATCACAATACAGGAGCAAGAGACAAAGAGACAGAGACAAAGACCATCTGAACACCAGGTTACTGACACTGGAACAGAGGGATCTACATTTGGAATCACTAGAGAAGAAAGAAAAGAAAAAGAACATGAACCAACACCAGGAATATTGGACTGGGAATTGGAAAGAAAAAAAAAATCAATACAGAGCTGAAGAATATCGATACAGTATCACGAAACAAAATATCACAAAATGTCATTTGTTTTCAATTTTCTTACACCCTTAGTGAAAGTCCAACGGGTTAAACTGGAGAACAAAAAACAAACTGTTCGTTGCTCTGCACGTGTCTTTTTTTTTTAAAGTTTTAATTCCTACAAAACTAAATGAAAACCCTCTAACAAATAAAACTGTGCTCTGCAAATGTCATTCTTATCCAGCTTGGTGGTTCTGCAGAGGTCGTTCCAGTTTTGAGAGTTTCTCGCCCTCTGAGAGTAAATCCCCGTCATCTTCTTGGAGACAGGAGATACTGAAAGTCACATTATGTGAAGGGGGAGCAGGATCTGTGCTGCTCAACTTCCCTCTAATTTCACAGGTGTGATGATATGCGCGTACAGGCATGTGTCGCTGCCCGCTGCTATTGATCCCTCCTGGGATTATGACTCCTCTGCACACCGGCCTCCTCCAATCTATCTCCTAGCCACGGCCGAGACATTCTACCGGGCAGCGACACAGCAGGAGAGGCGGCCTTAAGCCTCTCCTCAGTGACTGAGTGTGTATGTGGGCAGACGTGAAAAACATCATCTTTCTCCCTCCACACCAGCAGCAGAAAAGGGGAGAGTGGGAATGAGATGGAGGAGGCAGCTCACAAAGATTCCCCGCGGAGCTGGCACGGCCACATCAACAATGTGGAATTTACTGGACGATGTGACGCAAACACCGAGTCTGCTCCACCGGAGGCTGCTGGAGTTACTCTAATCTGCAGCCGTACTCCAGCATAAAGATAGGAGCATTACAGCAGCTTTAATGCTTTTATGATCCGCACTTAGGTTTCCATCCGTAGGGCCCGAACATGACACTGAATAAACTTCTTCCACAAGGGCTTTTAGAAGGCAGCGACAGACATGCAGCCTCCTTCGACGGAAACGCAGTCATTTAAATATTGTTTGGGTTGTGGATGAGACGACTGCATCATCTTAAGATGAAAACGTCTCCAGACACACAAGGGGAAGAAGTCGGACTAACGTCGAGTCGAGTGGAATAAAAACACAACAGTTTGGTGAATAATTAGAACAGGAAATGAAACCTTCTTGTTGAACTCGTTGTTCAAGTATAGATTTTAAAGTGGACATGATGAGTTGGTTTCAAAATGGTGATTTAACCAATCAACATTCACATAAGGCAAAGGTCACAAAGGCTGCATAAAGTCACCATTTAACAGCTTAAAAAAGATTAATATAAAATCTTCAAATGTATCAAAACAAAAACAAAAAACAGTTTAAACACAACTGGTCCATTAATATATTATAAAATATTATAAAAATATTATAAAATCTTCAAGTGTATCAAAAAAACAAAAAAAAAAACAGTTTAAACACAACTGGTCCAATTCAACCTCTTTGCATTTATGAAAAAAAAATCGGCTCTTTTAATTTCTCTTTGCAGCCAGTAGATGGCAGCAGAAGAGAAGAAGTAAAACCAACAGGATTCATTGTTAACCCTCAGCTTTTTTTTTTTTCACTGTTCAACGTGAAACGTGAGATGCAGTAGCTTAAACCTTCAGCATTAAAAAAATAAAATAACGAAAATAGTTGCATCAAAATAAAAATGTCAACCAACCTAAACATGGTGAGTTTGGTTGTTGGAGTGTGAAATAGCTGTTATTTAAAACATAGATGTTTTTTTAGGGGCTTCAAAAGGTTTCAATTGGAAATGACAGGTAGCATAAAAAGTCATGACATGTGACTTTATTATTTTCTGTAACCCTGACCTTTACCTAACGTACCTTCATGCATTAACCAACAACCTCCTGCTGGTGGGCAGACCTCAGAGGTTAGGGGTAAAGATCATTTACTTCACACACAGCTATGAGATTCCAAACCTATTTTCTAAACAAACTGAGTTTAACTTTCACCCCAAAATGTAAAGAGCTTTTTTTTTTTGGAGACCAGTGTTTGTTTGTTTACCATTTTCTGTGAAAGACGGAAAGACAAACGAGGACCAGGACTGAACTGGGCTGCTTTTGGTTTTTCTGCTCAGATTCGTTCGTTTGTCCATTCTTTCTATCTAAACTCTCTGGTTTCTTTACATCGTCACATCATTTGAATTTCTGGGTGAGGTGAACTACAGCAGCCCCACTATGGTTGCTCACTGTGAGGAAAGTGTTC